GTAGGTGTGTATGGGGTCATTGATGATGCAATGGGCTCGGGACACGGTGCACAAATTATTTTGATTTAATAGTATTAAATCACATCAAAAAGTGAGGATATGTCATCCAAAGTTTATGTTTATTGCCAAAGTCTGTTTGGATGCAGTTGTTTATGAGGGCAAACATGCATGAGAAGAAGAGGGGTAGAAAGGTAATAAGACAAACATGCAATGACCTTGGTATAAAAATACAACTGTTTTACTGGTGTTAATAGTGTTTAATTTAAAAATTTAAAACACAGGGAAAGACAGTTGACACAACAGAGGCAGCCTAGGCTCATTTCCCCTGTAAACAAGTCCCTCCTCCTGCTGCTTGCTATTCTGTGAGGATGCACCTGATCTTAGCCAATCACCTTTTGGCAAACCATCACTTTTTGGCAAAACAGAACAATCAAGTATTCTTTAACATGCTCTTTAGCTCATGTGGAAGTTAATCTTCTTCCCTCTAGTGGGAATAATGGTTGACAAAAAACGTTAAAATGCATTACCGCCACCTACAGAAATGGAGTGGGGGCCCGACTGCATACGACTTTTTAATCTCCTTGTCACTCGGACAAAAGCTCTGACTAGGCAGTGCAGATCTGCACAATTATTTTTTTCTTCTGTCCCTGTGCTACAGACAAATTTAAATTTCCTACATTTATGAAAAGTTATTAGGATTAGAAAAAAACACTGGTGCATTCTATGAAGCAAAGCCCCACTTAACGAGACTGTGCAGGATATCAAACCAGAACAGATAGAGAACATTTGTATTCCTATATTAAAAACATAATGAGATCTACGTATAAAGAAAAGAAAAAAACAGCAATAAATGCTGTGGGGCGGTTTATACGCTGATTGTGGCAGTTAAAGGTGACTTTTAGAGAGATATCTTGTCAGGATTTGGTTGAGGTTTGTGGACCCAAATGCAGAGGAGAGTTTCTTGTGGATTTAATGAAGAGTTAACAAAAAACTGAGGAAGTAATACAAAAATCAAACATGAAAACAAAGTCAAAAACAAACCAAAAACCAAGGAGACGTTTGGGGAACACAATCACGAGGAGGAAGACTCAGAGAGACGGAGTTGGAGGAAGTTAGACGAGGAACCAGCACTGAGGAACTGAACAGAGGGTGTATTTATGGGAGACTGAAACAAAGAGAGGACTAACGAGCAGATTGGGAGCAGGTGTTAACAGAGCAGGCAGGAAAAGAGCAAGAAAAAGAGGAGAACACAAGAGGGCAGCAGAGGGCAACAAATAAAAACCTGAAAACAACCAGAAAACACAATAAAATAAGAATTAAACCACTAAAACAAGAAAACATGGAGCAAAGTAAAACTGAAAACTTAAAAGAAAACATAAAAGAACCAGAACTATGACAGATCTGGGAAGTTTATCAAAGTTTTTCTTTTCTTTTTTTTCATAACGAGGTGAGAGATATATATCACGCTTACCTGCTCAGTTTGCCCCTCTTTATTTAGTTTTTTGTGAGGCTCAAAGAGGATCACTATATTACACTTTCCGTTTTTCATCCACTTAAAATAATTTAGGAGAAGTAG